CTTTTTTTATTGTTCATAGAAAATACAATATGACTAGATGTTTCTAAAATGAGATATCATTAAAGTCCCAGTTTGAAAATACACACCAAAAAGTCTGATTGGGAAACTTTTTTTCACTGTTTTATATTCTGCTACACTGTGTTCAAAAGGAACAACCTTTAGTTTGAAGGTGAACTTTCTTTGTTTCTAGTTTGCTTTGTGCTTTTTAAGATTTTCATTTTTTGTACAAGCCGGATAATTGACAATCTTGAGCTTCAGTGTGCCAAACCATATTACATGTCCTGAGCAATAATAAGACAGGCAAAGCAAAACTTACACATCATTTAGAGAGGGGTCTCACAGACCAATAGGAAAATAGGAAATTTTGTAGGCAACATTTGTGGTTACTTTTCTACAATGCCAGGATTTGTGTCCAGTATTTTTGATAAACTGACCTTCATCCAGCTGTAGCTTTAGCTTAATCACAATTTGTCCAGAAAAAGAATAAAAGCCAGAAATTTTAAACCATCCCTGAAACCTTGAATGTCCTGTGCCTGGTGTGTTGGCAGCAACATGCTAAACCATCTTGGTAACCCCTAAAGTGTCCCGTAGGTAGTCAAAAGTCTCCCAGACAAAGTTAAAAAGTAAGGAGAAACACTGTGTTAACCGAGGATTTTCCATCATCTGAGGTATCCGGTCCTTGTCACATAGTGATGCCAAAATATTTTAAAGTAACATCTGCATATGACAAAATTGCTGCAGTGAAAACCCTTTTAAATAGAAATAAAACTTTATGTAATGAATAGAAAATATATCTTTGATGATAGAAAGAAAAAGCAGCTCAGCTTTTAATTAAAACATTTATTTGATCCAATTCTTTGGAATGTAATAGTCAATGATGAGAGTCTGAGACAACAGAGACAGATGAGTCTGAGTGTTGACCAGAAAGTCAAAGTACAAACAATACTATTAGTCACGTAAGGCCTCACTGCTTTCCAATGTTTTTTTTTAACTTCCTCATTTCCTTTCTTTTTCTAGATTTGAGACAGCAAAATTACAGAAAACGGTACTGAAAATAAAACATTTTTTTTTGTCATACAAAGAAAAAAAATAAAACATTGGCACGTACATCAGTGACAGTACAAAAACACAAGGTGATATTATACCAAGTAAATAAAATTGTTACTTTTCAAAGAGACGCATATAAGCTTTTTCAAGAATGAAAAACATCTCTGTAAATTGTACATTTCAGAATTATAACGTAGTCTTCTGAAACCGTGTTAAAAAGAAGCAACAATAACACTGTCCTCTCTTCCCTCCTTCCTCTCTTTTTGCAAATCAACATCATAAACACATAGATTATTTATTTATTTTTTAAATATATCAGTGCAACATTTGTTTTCACGTTGAGTGCTGCAGCATCCTTGTAAGTTTAAAGGGGGAGGATATATTGTCTGGTTATTTTTCCTGTTATGAATGTACAGGTAAAACTTTAGCAAGAAGATGAAGAGTTACATGGAAGAATAAAGCATGAATGCCTCAACAGTCAGCACACTTTATTTGATTGTGGATGCTTACTGAATGGCTACAGAGAAAAGACAGTTAAAGATGGAGAACTGATACTTAGGTGAGCACTTCTCAGTTTGAGCTGGGTGATGTCTCATAATGCTACATTAAAAATAGGTAGAGTTACCACTCATGGTGCAGTAAAAACAGGAAATAAAAAAGGCAAAATGTCAGTCAACCACACTACTGGGTTTCAGTAAGTTTTGTGCATGTGTATTTTGCCCCAACTTAAGGAGCAATAAGTCAGAATGTTCCCATTTAAAACAAACATCTGTTGGAGGTTGTCAGATAGTTAGAGAGTAGTAAAAAGTTTTCACCAACATTTTCTTTTTACGGTGTTTTAAAGAAGAGACCCATATAACAACAAGTTCAGCTAAAAAGCTAAAGCACAACAAAGCAGTCTTTGTAGAACACTTGCTGTTCTTAGTTTTTAACCAGTTTTCGAAGATAAATACCCTGACTTTATATTTCACAAACACCAAAGTTGGTAAGTGTAAAGGTTTACTATGGTTTACAGTAAATAAGGCATTAAAATGCTCGAGCAAATTAAAGACCAAGTACAAACCACATGAAATAGAAATACAAAACCAAATCTCACAAAATAAACTCATTTTAAGTTTTTTTTTTAAAAGTGAAAACAATTTTAAATTTCCAGCTGTTCTTAATTATTCAGTCCTATCTGAAAATGAAACCTGTCTGCTCAATAATAGATGCTGTTAGACCCTAAAGAGACTGAAAGAGACGCTTGAAGTCCATCACAAGGCTCCCAGACCACTGAGCACCCTTCTGCTTAAAGCTCTAGCAGTCTCATTGTGTGCCAGTGGCGTTCAAAAACAATCTTAACAATCCATCCTCAACTTGTTGTCAGCATCTTTATGGTACTGAGGTTACCCTGTACAAAAAAAATCCATCGTCTCTTCTTTCAAGGCATATCTGATGCTTTTCTCCTTACTCTCATTTCCATGTCTGTAAAAACATAAGTGAAAACCAGGGAACAATTAAATTCAAAAACCACAAAAACAACAGGCCTGTATCTCTTTGTTTTTGTATACATTATCAAAATCCAAATGATAAACAGTGACATTTCTTTCAGCATAGAAAGGATGCTGCAGCACTGGTGTCTTTCTCTATAAAGAGGGCGCTCAAATATATTAAAACCTATGTACAATATGGTGGATGTGTCGTGAAAATGAGGCATTCGGGGCTCCTACACATTTTCCATCTGGAAAATTCCATAGATTTCACAAGTTTTCCTAAATGTCGCCTAGATTTTAAAAGTGTGTCAGTGCCACTGTCATTGAGGCATGAGGATCTACAGAGCTACACCAACACATGTGATATTTGACAACACACTACAACATTAAAAAGTTTGTAGGTTTATTATCACAATGTGGAAACGTTATTTTTTTCCATTTTTTTTCACATCCGTGTAGGAACCCCAGATGGGACATTAGCTGATGGGAAAACAACCAGCAGAAAAAAAGGCAACAGAAAAACTGGAGGAAAAAAAAAAAGGCACTGTCGGAACTAGACGCAGGTCAACAGGCAGGGACGGGTCCCCGCTTTTCACACATACACACACACACACACACACACACACACTCACACACACACACACACACACACACACACACACACACACAGATGCATGCTGATCATGTACACAAACATGACTGTAATGATACACACCTCTACAGTCAGACTACTACCCATACACACCTTATATACAGATGTGTATGAATGTGACACACACACACACACTCATAAACACTTTCATGCACACATGGGGACGGGGACATACGGCCAACAAGAGCCAGATATCACAATAGCATATTTCAAATAGTCTGCCTGTTCTGTGTAACAATGACATCTGAAACAACAAAAGAGGAAAAAAACAAAACAAAAAACCAAGAAAACAAACAAACGAAAACAAAAAAAACAACAGATTTTATCTTTCCAAATAATACTTTCATCTGAATTGGTCTCAACACCAGCATGTGATTACATGAAATCAACAAAGCACGCCGAAAAACAAATAGAATCCTTAGTTTTCTTCTTTTTTCTCTTTTTTTTTTTTTGCTGTACAGATTCTTTATACACAGTGCCCCCTATAGGTGAGTCCCTTCCACTGCTGCTCCTGAGAAATAAAATTACATCGGCTCACTTTTCAGCCCACCCTGCCGTCCCATTGGTGGCTTCAGCCCTGTGTTCCACTTTCTTGATTGGCTGCATCGAACGTGTCCCTGCGGAGCAACTGCAGCTCCGTCCCCATTTCTAACTCACGCCTCTGAGTAGTTAGTCTGTCCATTTATCTTGTCCTTCTTTAGTTTCACACCATCTACCAGCTCAAAGTTATAGTTTTCAAGGGCAGATAAGTTCCTGTCTGTCATGCTGCCCTGTGAGCAGGCACAGTACAGGACAACACCGCAGATGGCGCCCAGGAAGACACCCAGAGCTGACATGGCAATGATTGTGATGAGGATCGGGTCCAGGGTCTTCAGCATGTTTCCTGGGCTGCCAAGTGGACTGTTTTCTTGTGAGTAGGTGTCCATGGCTGCAAAAGATTAAAAAAAGATTCCATTTAAAATATTCACAATAGAAACAGATCCTGACCTGATGCTAGTGTCAAATGTAACGTCAAAAAAGTCACTTCAGTGGATGGAAAGTTTTAAAATGTGTCTCTCAAATGATCCTAAATCTAGTCCCTGATTGTCCTAAACTCTGAATTCTTAATTTTTAATGAAAGACATTTTTTTAATTTAATTTTTTTGGTTGGAAAGCCCTAAAAGAGGTTGACTCTTGTTTACTAGGTTAATAGCTGCCTCATTGTGCCTGATAACTGAATAATTAATATATCAAGTGTAAATGTTCATAATTTTATTGAGTTTGGATCTCCTTTCTTAGATTTATGTAGGGAAAGCTGATGTAACTTCGATGGCTACTAAACTTATAGTATTCTTACTATGTTATAACCAGGGAGGAAGCTGCAAATATATATTCATGTGTACGTCTTGTTGTTTATCATCAAGATGCATGTGCGGGTCCTTTACTAGAGGCTTAAGGAGCTTGAGGGTCCTTATAGTATTTTTGTTGTTTCTAGGACTGCACTCTTTTGGACAGAGATCTCGGAGGTCTTTCCTGGAATGTGTTGAATCTGCTGGACCCATTCACCCAATTCGAGTGGTCTCTGACCCAAGTCTTCCGATTACCATGGGAAAAATATGCATATTTGCCAAGAGGGATGGTGAAAATTCCCCCCTGTGACCTATATGTCACTGCCTTGCTAATTATTTCTTTATTCCTGGTCAACATAAAAATAAAATCTTAGCTTTTAGCTATGCACTAA